ATAAATAATACTGAATCTTGAAGAAGTCAATGAAATCTCAACAGTTTATTTACATTATGTAATACGATTAGTTTTCTTTTATGTGCCGCCAAAACTATTTCTTGTTCGTCGAGCTGAACTTGTAACCTACATGGTGGACGCATTCAAAGTAGAAAAAAAGTGACCGGAAAGTGGGTGATACTTTTGGTGCTTAATTAAGACTGAATAGCAATAACGAGTTTAAATTATCATTTGACATATTAATTTAAGCGCACGCATAACTAATCTGAGGAGGCGCTGCTTTAATTTTGATTCACACCAACAATTTCCTTGCAATAAGAAACAGACGTAATTCGATGGGGGGGGGTTTCAAAAGGGAACGGATTTTAAGGAAAAGTTCCGCCAGTAATTGGGTGGATTTATGGTTTCATTGTTATGTGTTTCTTCGGTATTTAGTGAGAGAGGGTTGGAAGTGTAATTTTAAATTGTGAATTGTGGTCGGTCGTAAAGCACAGCAGACTCACGAATATGCTGCTTGCTGCATGTCCTTACAAGATTTTAGGGGATGGCGCAAACTGAAGAATATACTTCGGGGACCTGACTAACATCCATAAACATGTTTCGCGCGAACAGGACGACCGCAGCCGCCTCTTTTACATATTTTAGAGCGTGCGTGTAAAAGCTTTCATCATTGCAAGTGTCAGAAGAGAATGCGTTCTTTATTTTTTCAACCGATTGTTTGTTTTGTTTTCGTTCATTGTTGCTCATCCTCGTAAAGTTTTATTTTCTCAATTTATTCATTTTTGTTTGTTTACTTGCTTTATTTAAACATCTTTCGTGTTTTAAGTGCTTGCGAAGAACGGTGGCAGTACTTCATGGAAACGCAATTAACGTTCGAATGTCGCATCGTAAATTGCGGAAAGTGGGCGTACGTCAGAATGATTGCTTTTTCGGGTTGAAGGGTTGCTTTGTATCGGGGTTTGCGAAACACCTGAAATACATTTATGGGGTATAATAATAATAATAATGCATACATCCCCACATCACGAGGAGTAAAAGAAAGAAAGAAATAGATATAAGAACATCTGTTTTGGAAAGACTTTCGGTCTGTCTGATCGTGTTCGGGTGAGAGCAGGCAAAGTATTATATTGTATTGTCGGTTACCACCAGCCATGTGGGGGATCCACAACAGAAGAACGCAATCCGTCATCGAGACACTAGTCGCATGGTTGGCGCCGCGCAGCACCGCTTTCCGTTCCATCTCTTCTTTTAAGATGCAATTCACAAGTTCAACGCCTCTCGCGATGGCTTAAAGACTGAGTGCGATTAACAACACTAATTGGATTAGGTGCGGTGCTTCAAGTTCAATCGACCCGAAAAGAATCTCCGATCGAAAGTAATGAGCGTCGTCGCAACAGCGTAAGACTATTTTAATATTCTTACACGCTCAAGACATTGTACTTGATAAAACTGCTACATCTTTGAATGTTTAGACAGATAATACAAAATCATTGATGCAATTATAATACGATAAAATAAAAAGCACATAAATGTAGATTGAAAATGTATCGACATTCGTTTCATGGCTATTTGTTGTGAAATGATGATTGCAATTATCAATTATGCTGGTTGTGTTCCATAAAATGATATGATTTTGGTTTGGAAAACATAAGGGCGAAGCGTGTATTTGGTCGGATGCAACAAATTTGTTCGATCGAGCGAGCGAGACGGCATTGGGATGGATGGCAGGTGCCAATCACACCTGGGGCCCCGAAAATATTGTAACTTCTGTTCTAATAGCGGCAGAATAGTTCGTGCAGTTTTAATTCAGCGATCATCCGCAGAACAATTACTGGATTTGCTACCGTAGTAGAAGTTGTTGTTGTTATTGTTGTTTCATTTATTTAACATTGCGATGTTCTTCCAATAGCCAAAGGTGACTGTACTGACTCGCCCCGGGCGGGCGCGAATAACTGTAGTTCTGCTGTGATTCTCATTTAGATTAATACAGAACGAACGAACGATGATATCCATCGGAACGATCGTCACGTCACATCTCTGCACAGCAGAGAACGTGCTTCGGTTAATGGTGGCGTTTATTACATTTTAATTGCGTCCATTCATGAATCGAAAGTAGTATTCTTTTTTGTATTCTTATTTTCGTTTCGTTTCGCTTCTTCTTTGCAGGACGATCGGAGATATGGACTCGACTGGATCGGTTTCTGCCGTCGAAGCCGCTCTGGACAGATTGACGAAACAAAGGAGCGACTTGGAGGAGCTGTGGTCAGCGCGGAAATTGCGATTGGATCTCTGCCTGCGATTGCGGCTGTTCGAAAGGGATGCGTTAGAGGTGCGAATTGCATTAATTAATTAATTAATTAATTGCACTGTATATCTATTGATTTTTTTGTTTGTAATCATCAGGTTTCGTCGCAGTTGGAGATGTGGTCGGAGGAGCTGCAGCACAGCGAGCTGACGAGAGATATTTCCAAAGCCGAGCAGTTCCTCAGATTGCACAACGAGTCTGTGAATCAGATGCAGAACACGACGTACCAGGTGCTGCAGCAGGGGCAGGAACTGGTGCAAGTGTTCGAGAAGTCCGGAATCTGCGTGATGGCGGACGCTCAATACAATGCTCAAACTAGGGTGCAAGTGCTTCTCGAATTCTTGCACGATCGTGAGATGGACCTGGAGGAGTTGGCCGAGGTGAAGCGAGTGAAATTAGAGCAGTGCATACAGCTGGGACAGTTCCAGAACGATGCGAATCAGGTGATCAGCTGGATCAGGAACGGAGAGTCGATGCTTCTGGCGAGCTTCTCCATTCCGAACTCGTTGTCCGATGCGGAGCTGCTCAAGAAGGAGCACGAGCAGTTTCAAGTGGCCATCGAGAAGACACACACTTCTGCCGTTCAAGTTAAATATAGAGCAGACACATTAATAAACGGCAATCATTACGATCCGCAGAGTATAAAGGATATCTCCGAGGAGGTTACCAAACGCTGGCAGCAGATGGTCACTTGCGCCGAGGAGCGGCACAAGCTCGTCACGGCCAGCCTGAACTTTTACAAAACCGCGGAGCAAGTGTGCTCCGTGTTGGACAGTCTGGAGAAGGAGTACAGACGCGACGAGGACTGGTGCGCGAGCGGAGCACAGGGCGTCGATAAAGCGACATCGATAACGCAGCTGATCAACAAGCACCAGGAACAAAAGGAAGCCTTCCTGAAGGCGTGCACACTCGCAAGGAGAACCTCGGAGACGTTCCTCAAGTACACCACGAGAAGCTTGAAGTTTTACAACTATCCCAGCAGCACAGGGAACCAAGAGTCGCGCGTCAAAGCCATCCTCGAGAAGCTGCTCAGTCAAGAGAACAAAGTCCTGGAGCACTGGACGCAGCGCAAGAAGCGCCTGGACCAGTGTCAGCAGTTCGTTCTCTTCGAGAAATCCGCGAAGCAAGCGATCGAATGGATCCACGAAACGGGCGAATGCTATCTGCGGACGCACGCCACCAATCTCGGAAACAACATCGAGGAAACGGAGAGTCTTCTGCGAGAGCACAACGAATTCAAAGGGACGGCGAAAGAGACGAGGGAGCGCGTCAAGTTGCTCATCCAGTTGGCGGATAGCCTTGTAGAGAAAGGCCATGCTCATGCGAACTCCATAAAGCAATGGGTTGCAGCAGTCGACAACAGATACAAGGACTTCAGCTCGAGGATGGAGAACTACAGGCAGCAGCTCGAAGACACGCTTGGCATTCAGGCGGAGGAGAGCGAGAAGAAGGAGCTTTCCATCGACAGGAAATCGGACCCAAGCCTCGAGACCAAAGTCAAAGAAGCCGCTTCCAAAGAGCTGAAGGAATTGAACGAGGAGAAACGCAGATCGGCGAGGAGGAAAGAGTAAGCTTTATCAATATTAATATCAAAATGTATTTTATTTAATTGTTGTATTTATAATTTCAGATTTATTATGGCGGAACTTTTGCAAACGGAACGTACGTACGTGAAGGATTTGGAGACTTGCATAAAATCGTTCCTCGACGAGTTGAGAACGAACAGGTACGTGCCGCCGCCGCTGATCGGAAAGGAGGACATCATTTTCGGTAACATGGAGGAGATATACAATTTTCACAATAACACTTTCTTGAGAGAATTGGAAAAGTACGAAACTATGCCCGAGGATGTGGGCCATTGCTTCGTCACTTGGGCGCAGAAGTTCGACATGTACGTGCACTACTGTAAAAATAAGCCGGAATCGAACAGTCTGCTCGTGCAGCACGGCGGAGGATTCTTCGAGGATCTCCAGAACAAACACAAAGTCGAGCACCCGATTGCCGCCTATCTCATTAAACCGGTGCAGAGGATTACCAAGTACCAATTACTGCTCAAAGACTTGCAATCGTGCTGCCAGGAGGGCCAAGGCGAAATCAAAGTACCATTATCAATTTATATTTCCTCTAGTTTTAACTTTTATTTTTTCTTAACTTTTAGGACGGCTTGGAAGTTATGCTGAACGTTCCAAAGAAAGCCAACGACGCTATGCATCTGTCACTGTTGGAGAGCTGCGACGTGTCCGTCGATAAGTTGGGAGAGGTTATTCTGCAGGACGCCTTCAGCGTCTGGGATCCCAAACAGATCATAAGAAAGGGCAGAGACAGGCACATATTCTTATTCGAACTCTATCTGCTGTTCACCAAAGAAGTGAAAGACTCGACGGGAAAAGTCAAATACGTGTACAAGAACAAATTAATGGTACTTGTTTATACTTATATCAAATTGAAACAAGTTTCGTTATATTTTTTGTTTCTCTCAGACTTCAGAGTTGGGGGTGACTGAACACATGGAAGGAGACGAATGCAAGTTTGCCGTGTGGACGGGTCGGGCTCCGATCTCCGATTACCGCATTGTCTTGAGGGCTTCCTCCCTGGACACCAAACAACTTTGGGTCAAGAAGCTCAGAGAAGTTATACAGGAAACCTATTTCTCCGGAGCCCTGCCGCTATCTCTGCCCAAGAGTCCGGCCAAACTGAAGCCGCACAGCCAGAGATCCAGCAGGTAAATGGACTAATCAAAAAGTTTTCTTGCATTCCATCCAAACTTTGTTGCTTACATTCTGAACTTTACATGAAGTTATCTAATAATACAAACAACATTTACAATTTTCCAACATTCATATTAACTTTTTTTTTTGTATTTTATTTGCAGAGATATGGAGGAATGCAATTCATTAGATGAGAGTGTGGAAAATTTGGATAGAAATTCACTGACTTCCTTCGGATCCGGTAACACCACAGATTCCGACAAGGTAAGTGCTTTAATTTTATACTTTAACTGTACGGCTTACATTTGAAAAGTTTTATAAATTTACTGTAAATTTAGGATTTAGTTCAGAATTGGAATAATCATTGAATTATCTTTTCAAGTATCTCGTTTGGAATTGAATGCCTATAATTTTCGACAATTATTTGCGATGCAATCGATAATTGCTGCAATAAGCCAAGGAGTATCGTGTTCGTCGTTTTGCTTGCAAAGTTCGCATTGCATTAATTGATGCTGCACTAGACATTTCCAACCGATTGTTAATTACTAGTAAATAGCTAACGATTTGCGTACACTTGGCTGCTCGTTCAATGTCGGTTATAGTTTGATCATTTAATTACACGTCGCACACCGCACCGACGGCGTTTCTCTCGTCAACAATTAGAGCCGGGACAAAAAGAAGAATGTGTAAGCACAGCACTTTTCCATATTTAAAATTGCGCCTTCGCGATGATTGCATTTTCTCCGAAGGCGGTGGCAGCCAGGAAATCGGAATTGGTAATTCGCGGCGGTGTTTGCTCTCTCTCTCTCTCGCCAGGAAAAGGCAGAGCTGAGCGGGACGGATCTCTAGATCCTTAATGTCAGTGTGCCGTGACCCTCTCGTGTAACCGCCGCCCACTTTGACGAAACCCTTTAACCTTGATCCATATAGGATGATGATGCTCAGCAGGATTTGCTTGCCTCATGCAGTATTCAGTCGGCGTCAAACTTTGTCGGAACTCGAATTAATGCACGTCCAATTAGCCGCGCTAATATATGCAGGATCCGATCGAATTTAATATTTCGCTCGCTCTAAATATCCTCCCAATTACCGCACAAATTGACAGCGAAGGCGGCGGCGGTGGTTTACAGGATGGCGGAGGAGCAAGGCTTTCCGTTGGAAAACATCTCGACAGGACAACGCGAACTGAACAAACAAACAAACATTAAATAAGATAACACTTGAGCAGATTAGTGGAGGTATCAAGCAGGATTTTATGACATTAAGAGCATTGATCACGTTTAAACTATTAAACTATTAAATTTATGTTGTTTTCTTAATAAAATGCGTAATTTGATCACAAAATTAAGTGCATGAAAGTGAAATTAATATAAAACACTTTGCTGAAGAAATATAACAACAAAAAACAAGTATTACACTTTTTTTATTATTAGAAATGAATAACTGAAAGCCAAAAATAATTGGAGTACTTTTGTTGAAGAAGCAGCTACCTTTTGCGTGTATTTCATTTCATTTTAATAGTAAGAAACCGTTGAAGGTGAAATTAAAAATAACCGGAGGAATTCCTTTGAAAAGGACTTTTTTCTCTCTCTCTCTTTTAAATGTAAAAAATGCGATGGAAAACATATTACGACCATCGCAGGGAGGAGGAAGGTTCAGATGCAGAGTCCTTTGTTCGAATCCGTCGAGGGATTGGTAAATTGAATAACAAAATAAAATATGTTTTCCCTCCTTTGTGCGGACTTCAGAAGCTACAGAAACTGTGTGTGTGTGTACTTGTTTGTTTTGTGCGAGCAACAAGGGAAACATGTACACTTTTTACCTGGTCCATAGGGCTTGTTCGTGATTAATTCGAGGGCGAGGTGCGCGCAGTTCAAAAGGTCGCGCGGATTATTTAATTAAATCGCCGAAATGCACCGATTGGAAATTCCATTGTCACGTTAATTAATGCATTAATATCGACGCAAATTTCATCCGGATTACCTTCTTGTTTCATCTCTGTTCCATAGTTTGGATTGTTTAACTCGTTTTTACCTCCCTCGCGGTTTCATTTCATCGCAGTATAATGAACGTGAACCAAATTCGCGCAACTGAATTGCTAATCAAAAAAATCCACATGTTTCGACTCTGAACTGAAGCGAGATGTGTTAACTATTGGAATTAGCACTGTACATAATTGAATCGATAATTTTTTAACTCTTTGTTTCTGTCGTGCGATTATTTTGGTTTCGCGTTTTGCAACTGGATGAAAAGCAATTTATTTTTGCGTTCGCCTTTGATAATAATATTTCGAGGTTTGCAATGGGCCGGATGCCAATTAGAATTACCTCTCTTTTTCTCTATTTATTTTAATGAAAATCATGCATCACGCACATCAAGGTCATTTCTGACTCTCCCCCTCATTTTTACTATCATTTAACCATATTATCTAATGGCGATTCAGTTATTTCATTTCCGGATCAGGAAACGGCGCCAATTTCGAAGCCTTCAGTTCATATTTGTTTTTCTTTATAAATAGATTTGCTTCGTTGTTAGATGCAACAAAGTTTGTTTTGATTAAATCTATGTATTTATTAAATCTGATCTATATTCACTACATAGTTACCATGAGGTCAACTTTCTACTCATATTTTATCCAGTTATCCTAAGGATAATAATCATCCCGGTTAATACTTTATAGAAGTTTTTTTTTCAGTGAAATCTATTGAAATTTCTATTACAATTTTGTGATTTTAATAAAAAATAAACTGTGTGTTTGTACATACACATTGAAGTTAATTTGAAATGCAAAATGTAAACGTGTAACATGAATGTTCAATGGAAATGAGTGTACATTTATCAATGATTAATCTGCATTAGGAGACGACCACATTTTTCTTTTCTCTTTCTAAACTGTTATTCGTAGAGAAATACTTCGATTATATCTAATTGAGCGGAGCGTTGCGCAAAACTTAGTCACTACCGAGTTTTAGAAAATAAACATAATAGAGCAAAAAAAAAAAGACGCGCTTTTAATCTGTGTCAGCGAGCTCAGGATTCTCCAATGAAGGAACGAACTCGAATGCATTTTTGTCGACTGCAGAAAGAAATCAATGCTGCTGCTGCTGCAACATTAGCTTCTCGTCTTCTTCTCCAAGTCTTCTACGTATTATTCCATTAGTTAATTCGACGGAGTGGATGGGTCTGAGCTAATGACCTGCGACGGAATTTAATTAATCAAGTTCCCTTTGTTGCAAGCAAGGAAGGAAGGAAGGAGTGAATTATGCACTTACCAAGAAAGTCTTTCGCGAGTGGCGACGGTGATTCATGCAAAGAGGAGCGACATATCCCCGTCATTGTGTATTTAGGACCTTTTGCACGTCTCCCTTTCAACGATCTCGACTTTCTGCGCTATAAAATCCGCGATACTTGTTTTATAAGTGCGGATGTTTACTGCGCCACTAAACGTTCCTCCGCCTCGCGCGGAAACGTCAAGAGTGCACGGCTCAAAGTGTTGACCCGGAGCGTTCTGTTATTGTTCTTGTTCCCTTTCGCTGCTCATGTTTTATTATTCCGTGTTTTAACGTCGTGGAAAGTCTTCGCGACACCCGTAAATAATGCAACCTGTGACCCGCAATCACGTAAACTCTCGCTATAACAGATAATCATTTGATTTCCGTTTTTTTTTCTGTGCAAATCAGACCTAAAACATTACCCTGTGGTATATCCATTACTACATTATACTACGTATAGTTTAATAAAGTTTTCCATTTTCATATGTTTCTTTTTTCTGAATTTGGAATGTATCAATCAGTTTTAGTAAGAAAATTGTCTCCACGTAAATATTTTATTCGATTCGCCAATACCAAGATTACGTAAACATCCGAGATTGCGCTGAAACAGATGACAAACATAGTGGCATAAAGATACGTAACAAATGATTCAGTATTTCTTATTAAAATAAACGCTGATTCCCTGGCCAAAATTAGAACCGCGTTAATGCGGAACAAATAGAGGATGCACCATTACTTCATCAACGAAATTACAGCAATAAATAGATCATCTAAACCAGTGCTTCTCAACCTTTTTTTTTTTTGCTAAGCGAGACAACTTGCTTTGACGCAATTTGACAGCTGTCAATTATAAATTGTAACCATCATAGATCAATATTGTTTACTGCTACTCATTTGTTTATATAAACATTTTTTTTGGGGCTTCGACGCAAGGTGACAGCTGTCATTATGCAACCAATTGAAAATTGTCACCATCATAGAAACGTTGTGTAACTTCTTTTAATTGAATTGTTTTATTAAAGCACTTTTTTTTAGTACATTATTCATTAACTATAATATCGTTTATAGCGAAACTTGTTTTTTTTTCTTTTATCACCCCCAATTAAAATAAATAAACTGTTACTAAGAAAACAATCGCGTGACATCGTAATTCACGTGTTTTAATTCATTTTTGTTTTGCGTATAAAATACACATTTCCTTAATGCAAGCGAAAACGTGAAAGAAAATTAACGACCGTCTGCGAATGGGAAGCAGTTAAAATGGACGAAATCAAAGCACCGTTTATTGGCGTACGTTCAAGATGCGATTCGCTAATTAAGCGAGAAGAAAGATTGCCGAAAGTTTTCAATTTTTTTTTTGTTGTCTTGTTAAAATTTAAAAAATAAAAAGAAAGAAAATCAGACAAATGGCGGTCGTTATGTAATTTATGTTGTTGTTGTTGTTGTTTCGAGTTGCGTTTATTTCTCGGCCCGCTAGACCGAAATAGATTCTCTCGAAACGTTAGTTCGTTTTTGTCGCGTTGTGCAACTATTTTTTGTTTTTTTTTGATAACTATAACATTTCACGTACGTATTTTTCATAATAATAATAATCAATATTAATTACAAAAAGAAAATGAAATTCACTTTAAAATATTTATGAAGGGGAAACCGCTAACATAAGTGTTTCCTTAAACTTAATCTCTAAAGTCGTTTAACATAACTTCATTTAATCATAATTATTTCACGAAAACCACAACTTTAAAAACGTAAAATTTGTTTTAAATTGAAAAAGATTAGTTAAACTAACTAAAAATTAGTCCAATTTCATTATACAGTTGAAATATTAACAAATGATTTGGTTATTTGCAAAAATATAAATTTATCATCAATAAGGAAATATTTGTATTTATATAAAGAGTCGGAGGAGTTGGCGTAGAGCAAATTTGTAGAGCTAAAGACCAACAATTAGTCCGACTTCAAAGGACTTCCTTTCTTTCTATTTTCTTATCC